TCCTAAGCCACTTTTTTGACCTCATTCCACCTAGGTCACTATCTTTATCGAATATGCTTTGAGATATCTTTCATCTTTCTCACGTCAGTGGTCCTTTACTGATCAATCAAGCGTGATAGATTTCATATATTCAATTTATCATTTGCCAGAATCCTCCCGAACGCAGTTGTATTGACTGATTTTTCTGATAATGATTGGTTTTTAGCGGATTGGTGGTCAATATCACAAACTGTAATTAATTTCTTATGTGTCTTGATCTGATGTCAAAACATTTTCCAACAAACAGCTGGAATCGAATTTCCTTTTTTGTTTCGGTTTAACCCGACTGAATTTAAAGAGGTTGTGAGCAATTATGAAATTGGAATCATTTACTAATTATATTTAACGTTAATTATAAGAGTTTATTAGGTTTCGTGGTCCGCTTGACCAAATAAATTCTTTTCAAATAATTAAGGTTTTGGTTGAGATAAAAAAGTCAATGTCACAAGCGGGATTCGAACCCACGACCTTAATTAATTGCTAGATACGCCGCTGCTCTACCACTTGAGCTTTTTTTTACTTCGATCTACTCAGGCACTAACTTCCCATCTCAACCCCACGTTTTGAATTTTCCTCCTTTTTGCCATTTTTCAAATGTCGTGTAATCTATTTGATTCTCGGCGACAAATTAAATGGCCACGTCGAGCTTTAGTGAAGTATACTTCATTTTGCTTATTGCATTTTATTAGGTTTCGTGGTCCGCTTTACCAAATAAATTCTTTTCAAGATTTATCTTTTCAAGACACTAGCTCAAGTGCCGAAGGTCGTGGGTTCGAATCCCGCTTGTGACACTGACTTTTTTATCTCAACCAAAACCTTAATTAATGGAAAAGTTAATTATAAGCCCAAATATATATTTAGTACTCAAAATTGACCGTATTAATTTGTTTAATTAATTATGCTTTCGTAACTATAGCTCAAGTGGTTAGAGCAGCGGCGTATTGAGCCGAAGGTCTTGGGTTCGAATCCCGCTCGTGACACCTAGCATTTTAATGTCAACCGTGGTCATATACAAAAAGGATAATTAATTAAATTAATTATAAAGCAACAAGCTGTAAACCTTTGTAACCTCTTTTCTATGTAATATCTATAAGTGTGAAGCGCCATTTTCATTTATTATTAAGTAAATGAGCAACAAGATAATTAAGAAATTATGGGTTCACAAATGAAAAACAAAATATCTGAAATGGCTGAAAGAATATTTCTGCCTTATTATATATTATATTTTCTATTCAATTCACGGGGTTCTTAGTAAACAAATAAAAATTGACAATGGTTTAGTTATGCACATTTTATGTAAATCCACCTGGCCTTGAGCCACAAAACAGCATCCTTTAAGGTGACAGATATAGAAAATATTAAAATTGTCCTTGGATTAAACAAGTTCCGACGATTGACAGTTTCCAACAGCCGGATGCTCACCATTATCACAAATAGAAACAAGCCGGATGTAAAAAAAAATTGAAAAAAATTCATAGTCATGTGCGTAGTTGCAAATCCAAACTAATTTTGAAGATTAGCGGGTTGTCAATGCTGCAAGAAAAATCCGAGGAAAAACTTCGAGATTTACAAGAATTCTCAGTAAAATCTTTGGATTTCACCTGGAGTAAATATTTAAGATTTCCTCGGCTTCAGAGGAGGGAAAATGATAAATAATCATTACAATTAATTAGGGTTTTTAGTTGAGATAAGAAAGTCAGTGTCACGAGCGGGATTCGAACCAACGATCTCTTCGGCTTGATACGCCGCTCCTATACCACTTGAGCTATTGTGACCTCGCCCCACTCGGACACTAACTCCCCATTTCAACCCCATCTTTTTCAATTTTCCCTTCTTTTTGCCATTTTTCAAATCGGTTGAGATGGGAAGTTACTGTTCGAGTGGATCGAAGTCACGACAGCTCAAGAGGTAGAGCAGCGGCGTATCTAGCCCAAGATCGCGGGTTCGAATCCCGCTCGTGACACTGACTTTTTTCTCTCAACTAAAAACCTTAATTATTTAAAGATATTAATTGGTCAAGCGGACCACGAAAACTAGTGAATTTAAAAATCACTACATTACATAAAAACCGAATGTACAATGAAGCAAAAAATAGGTAATTTGTCTCAGATCATTCGACATATATTAGTGGAATTTTTCTAACAAATTTTACAGTTAAATTTGCTCCCTTACTGAGAACCATGACCTATTTCCAACACTTGATTTGTCAATTTTCTACATTATTTTGTCTGTGCGGAAAGTAGGGTTTATGAAAAATGTCTTTCGGAAAAAAGTGGGTGTTACATGAACTTGATCAGGCACCTTGAAATTTGAGGTTTTGTCATCAGTCATTATCACCCATGAAACTGATATACATCAAAACTAGAATGTTATTTTTATATTTATTCAAAATACATAATTTTCTTCAAAGGATGCAAAAGAACAGTTACAAACAAGGTAAAATTGTCTTGATTTTGCGACTTTAATGTTAAATTTAGCTATTAAAAATTGCACATTTAACCCCCCCCCCGTTTAAATGATCGTAAATTACCGTTTATGAAAATGAACGTACATTTAAAATTTGTTGTTTGAGAGTTGGAAATTCAATCGTTTGCCCCTAGATAAAATATCGAGTTTCAATTTTTGTTTTATGAAAGCTATTTTATTGGGATGCCTGGGTTGGGCAGACAATCAGAGCACGTCGTGAACGTCGTTGTCCCAATGCAATTCTAGCCATTGAAGCAAATAATTGTCTACGCTGCAAAATCCCTGTGATTTATTTCGTACAGTATCTTCTTTTTGCAGTGAGAAGTAACAAGCATGATGGACAGATTTTCTCGTATTCGACTGGTTGGAAAATTATTCTATATAAATGTGTGGTGATTAGTGACCGTTAGTCGATGTTTATTCAGAAATCGTGAGATGCGGTCCGGTGTGATGTAGGTTTCAGAAAAACATTTTCTTTATCGTGCCAACGTTTCGATCTTTATTGAGATCATCTTCAGAGCTCAAAGTGCCCACACACGCACTATCAACACGACACGCAAGAATGGCATACTTACGCAGAAAACAAACACTTTGAGCCCTGAAGATGATCTCAATAAAGATCGAAACCGTTGGCACGATAAAGGAAATGTTTTTCTGAAACCCTCATCATACCTGACCGCATCTCACGATTTCTGAATAATCATTCTATGTAAAATTATACAGGATGCTTGCAAATCTATAATGCTAGATGTAATTAGTAAAGAAGAAATTTAAAATTGACCAAGTTTTTTATTGAAAATCAGTGATCATATCAAGTGTCCTGAGTATTTATTGAACGTTCTGGCAAGAGTAAAATGTACTTTTACTACTAGTAAAACAAGGCAAGACGTCTCCGCTCGTGATTTACAGCCGTAAGGGCTGCGGACGTGAGTCGGACTGTCACCTTGTCCGTGAAAGTCGACGAAAATCATAGGTAAATATCGTTTGACTACGATGGTGATGTCTTGAATACGGTGAGAACGGACGCCGAATAAAAGGGGCCAAAAAGAAAGGCCAAGAAATCTTAACATGCGTTTTTCAACAAGGGACCATAACTTTCCACGTTTAAGTTTAGATAGTTTGAACGTTACAGCTTGGTGGCTCATTTATAAAAAAAGCGATTGAATTTGCTTTACAGCGATGATCCTCGTTTATTGCAGGGATTGTGCAACGACGAAAGCATTTACGTACAAATCGGTGTTTCTTAATCTATCAAAAATAAAACCAACGTTTGTTGTTTATGTATTAAGCTTTTACAATCTTGATAGAGGCAGATTGCATAACCCTCACTAATTAACATGTACTAGCATGAGGGTACCACGACTTCAGCTATTTATAGACTTTAGAACTCTCGTGAAAAATATTTACATTTCTTAAACGTGCACGTTTTTTATTATAAAGAGATCATATATAAAGATTATTTTTTAGGCAAAAACAGAACCATTCTGTTAGAAATGTCTTTATATTTTGGTTCATTATTAAGAAAATAAAGATTAGTGGTTTGATAAATTTAGGAAGCGAAAGGGAAATCGGCCCGGAGGACCAAAAATTAAGGGAGAGAGTAGATGACACGTTTCTTCGACCAGCAAACCCCATTACGCGTCTGTAAACTTTTGCCTGATCCAAACAATATTAAACTCCAAGTATTGCTTGAAAATTAGCAAATGAAAATAGTGTTCTATAAAAAAAAGTTTCGTGAAATTGTGTTGTTTAGTGTAAGGTAGAAATAAAAAATAAAAGACGGTACCTCTAAATTTATTTGTGCTTAAACAGAATGTTATGATAAATTTATCAAGCAAAATAGTAAAAAACGAGGATCCGGCCCGGAGGACCAAAATTTAATAGAAAAGTAAATGGTACCTTTCTATTCTTCAACAGTACTGTCTTAAGTTAACTATATTTTTTAATCTAGTTCAAGTTGTGGATATACGCAAATTATTTCATTGATTTTTTTTTAAGCTGGCAATAGACGGGCCTGATGAATTTTATTTCCTTTTGATTTGTATGTGATGTATGATCGACAGTGCGCAAATCGAGTGGATCGAGGTCACGATAGCTCAAGCGCTAGAGCAGCAGCGTATCTAGCCGAAGATCATGGGTTCGAATCCCGCTCGTGACACTGACTATTTTATCTCAACTAAAAACCTTAATTAATTGAAAGTGTGCAAATATTTAACCTACACCTTTATCTTCGCGCTTAGCAAAATTATCCTTGTTTTTGTACCATATTTTAGGACGATGAAATGAGCATGTACGTAAAGTGTTGTAGGCAATAACAAATGGAGAAAGAGAACATGAAGCAAACGAAAAGTAAACGAGATCCGGCCCGGAGGACCAGAAATATCAGGAAGTAAGGAAAATAGCGGGCTTGTTTATACTAGGAAACCTCCATTCCCATCTCTAAAATCTGGAAAGATACAAATGTAATAAAACTTTTTTCGTGTTCGATTTCGTACCTGGAAAAGGAGGTAGCCGCTGTCGTACATCCAGTACTGTGTGTTCGTGTTAGGTGGGCCGGTGTTCGGAGGGGCGACCCGCTGGAGCTGGAGAGCCAGGCAGTCCTGCAACAAGCTCAGACATTGAGCTTTTCTGCTCACGTGACCGCTCATTACGGCATCTGGAAACAAAAAACAAAATTCTTAGCACATTAAACATTGTAAAGATAAGCAGGTAATGATATATCACAAAGATTAGCATAGTAATCACCGGGAAGTTCGGCGGCATAGACATGTAAGTGCAGTTACATATAAAATCAAACCTGTTTTAACGAGTGTTCCTTTTTTTAATATGACACTTATTGGAGGAAAAAACAGCCAAAACAAAAACAGCGATTTTACATGATTTATTCATCAGGCTTATAATAATTTTCTGAGCACGGGGTTTGGAGATATCCAAATTATCAAGTAAAAGACGATAATTTGCATTGACAAAACCTGTTTGTATTGAAAATTGCAATTCTAATCCTTAGCAAGAACATTTGTTATTAATTTATTCATAATTTATCGTGCTGAGCACCACACACATTACACAATATTATGTCAACGAAGTCACCTGATAAAAAGTCGATAGATTTGATGAATCAGCGAAAATCATGTCTTAAAATTTACATTAAAAGGAAAGCGTCAAATACGTAAGACATCTTCGTGTAATAGACATTCCGACAAGTCGACAAATTGGACAAATGGAACATCTGTTCAAACCACTCCCTGTGCAATTCAGAATATGTCCCTGGTTCGAACAATATGCGTGTTTGGCTGCGGTCCATTACTCAAATGAAAAGAATACCAACGCTGCGGAACAGACGCCTAACACTAATTACCAACTGGTATTTAAGAAACTCCACTCTTGGAATATCAACTGTAGCAGACTTATGCAACTTATGCAGTATCGTGTTTACGACCATGATCTCCCTATTCTCACTGTTTCGCCCTGTCAGACGCATTTCGGTATTTACGTTTTTACAGATTCCAGGGATTTCTTCAATTTGCTAGGATAGAATGCTCAAGGGCATGAAGATATTAGGATGAAGAAACAAATTCAATTGTTATCTGCCAAGCATAGACTTTCAGATCATCATCATAATAATTAAGTTTTTAATAGATAGTTTTAAATTGTAACTTAATTATGTCAATTTGTAGCCATCTTTAAAATAGATTACATTAAAATAGGTCGAAAGCTTGGCAGATAATATTGAACATATTTTTTTAATGCAGATCATATTGAGATCCAGGATTATTGTAGTAAAATAGAAGTCGATACCATATTTTGCACGTAAATGTTCTGACTGGTTTTCCAGAAATTCTGACTGACTGGGTAATTTTTTCCAGGAAATCTTTGTGTTTTTTACGAATGAAACCGATTATTATTTAATTTTCAGAAGTTATCATGCAAAAGGAGCTTTTTTATATTGGATTCTTGGGTTTTTTCATGCAAAGTAGCAGATATTACTAATTTCTAGGAAATTCTGACTGATTGGGTGACCTTTTTCCGGGGGGATTTTTGTGTTTTTTAGGACACAACATAAGATTCTTGGGTTTTTCTTTCAATATGGCAGATGCTTATTAATTTCTAGGAAATTCTGACTGTTTGGCTGACCTTTTTCTGAGGGGATTTTTGTTTTCTTTAAGACACACACAGGGTTCTTGGGTTTTTCTTGCAATATGACAGATACTTATTAATTTTTGGGAGATACTGACAGTTAGTGTGACTTTTTTCTTGGAAATAAACCAAATATCAATTAATTATCAGAAGGTATGATTCTGTATTTTCCTTGTAATATATTATGTAATTTCTGTACTATTACTAATTAATACTACTACTGGTACAAATTAATTTCTGAGAAATTCTGACCATTAGAAACTTTTTATAGGAAATCGGCCATTTAATCGCAATAGTACAAGGGCTTAATAAGTGCAAAGAGGGTAAATTGCATATGGGATAATGAATGGATTAAATGTAAAGCCAACCGTCAAAAATGAAAGCTCGACTTAAGGCCTCGGTGGCAATCTGTCACGCCTGACGCAATATTGAAAATGCCAAGAGTGACTATCAGTCGAAATTATCAAGACATGGTTTAACAGTTAATTTCCTGTCTGAACAGGCTAAATTCGACCATGCGTACGATTCGCCCTTACGATGTATCTCGAATTAATGTTCTAATTAAAACTAAGAAAAAGGTCGTAGCAGGATATTTGTTCCATTTGAATGAAGTTAACTTATTGATGCATCTTGCATGCTCTATTTATACTTTTACTTCGTGTAAAAAGGTAGTTTTGAAGTTGGATTTATCGCAAAATCGATAGGATAGAGTATTAGCAATCGATTTAAAGGTCTCAGGCGATCTGATAAGCCGAAATAAGAGCGAATCGACCGTTGGGAAATTTTGTGTCGAAATGCTCAGAGCGATGAAAGTGAGGAGGTGGTCGCATCGGGCGCGAGCGTTCCTGCGAAGCACATCCGAGTCCGGGGGTCACAGGTTATGCGAGTTTGCAGACCTTTCCTCTTACGTCAAAGTTCAGGCGGGCCCGTTGTTTTTCCAGGAGGCAATGGCCCAGTCGTGTATCACGTCCTTGATAACCGCTCCGCTCTGTTAAAAACAACGGCAAATGGCAAAAAGTCTCTTGGCAAATATTGTTTCTCAAAATACTTGCACACAGTTCCCTTTGACCCGGGCTCCTCTTGAATGCCCCGAGCGTGAATGTTATTCCACTCTGTTTGCACAGGTTAAACACCGGCGGATTGTGAAACAACGAACTACTTACAACTTGAGATTACAATTACTGTGCACTTCATGGGATATCATAAATGACGAAATACACTGAAAATCGTGAGGCGCTCAAACCCGTCTGACAGACCGCAAGCTACAATACAAGTTCTAATACATAGTTGAGATCTGGGTGTTGTATGTTTCAAACAATTTATTGGATTTGTTTGGTTGGTTTGTTTGTTTACAAACAGATGATAGTATCACTGTTCGAGCCACTTTTGCTCATATCATGACCTCACGTAAAAATATGTTTTGCTGTAACTCTAACCACCTCCAACCATCTGTGCTAGAATGTTCTTATTGAGCATTGGCATAAGAAATATCTATTTTTTTAAACTTGTTTTTCTCTCTCTCTCTTTTCTTATTCTCTGTTAACTGTACCTCTTATGCAAATAAATTCCTCAATTTCAACAAGAAATTAAAGAGAAAACAGTTGTATCATAATAGCATTGTTGCTTTGTGTCCGTTTGAATAACTACCCCAATTTAAAATAATTCCGAAATGATGTTTACTATGTAGAAGAAAAACTTTCAGAACTATTCAAAGAAGTTAGAAATTCGATTATATACAGGAAATAGTTGCTACTTAACATTAAATCTGTAGGCATGGATATGGTTGTATACGATGCAAGTGTTCGGAATTTGTATAATTTTCGTCTTTTTCACGCGTGATCGGACTCGTTCCACCCTAGCGACACTCAGGCGTTTGGGAAATGTTTTACTATACGTCTGAAGTACTATTTTGTGAAGAATGGAGGGTAAATTCTATCATGACTTTCTGTACCAGGGAAGAAGATCAGCTTCTTGTCCGGAAGCGGTCGTCATATCTCTCGATCGTCTGGCACCATGAGACCTGCGTCCGTCCGATTTTCGAAGGTCGTATGAGCAATCGGCTCGCCAGAACGAATGACAATTCCCGGCCAAACGCCATAAAAAGACCGCACAAAATCCCGTCTCCCTATTGATATTTGTTCCGAATTGGCGTACTTCCGTGCATTGTAAAGCCCGCTGATTAAGGAGGTTCAGGATGTGGATATTTGCGATTCACCTTGCGCGACAAGTGATTCACCGTCGCGCCGTGTAAAAAGAAAAGAAAACGAAACCTGTCATTATGGATAATTCCATAGCTGGTACTGTGGAGATTGTTTTTTTTTTCAATCTTCTGCCCAACCACCCGGACAAATCATCATTTAGTTTTTACCCGTGAGCTTGCGACATTTGACTTCGTCGTGTCGAAGGTGGAATCGATGGAGTTTTAAACGCTTCTCATCCGAATCAGGGAATTATGATAAATAACGCCCCTTCCTTTTATCCCCTTGCATACCAAAGCACTTTAACAGGCTATTTAAAATATAATGAGCCGTGTTTCGAGGATGCACGTGTGGAGAGACTAAAGGTGGGTGGTAATTTTAGATTTTCGCCCTCTTCTAGGGTCGAGTAGATCCGGGCTTCCGCCCTTCGTTCCAGCTGCCGAAAGCACATTCCGCTTTCTTTTACGACCCGATATTTTCGTGGGGGTTAATCCGATCGCCCGGTTGTAATTTGAGAGACCGTTAACGATTTTCTGCTGGCAGGGCGCCTGAAACATTGCACGCTCGTTGCACGATTAGCGATTGAACTGCTACGATGGAACGTTTTGTTCTTCACGGGTCGACGCTTCTATTAGTTAAGACAAATAAATCCCAAATTGTTCAAATTGACTATTTTTCGAAAAGACCGGTTCCTTACGATACTCTTAAGGTTACATTTTTCAACAGGACATTCGAACCCCCAAGTGACAATGCATCTTTTCTTTTAACATTTCTATCATTCTAAAATGAAAATAAAACGAGGCAACAATTTCTAAGCGTTATAATAGGTACCAGCGGCTACAAAAAATAAAATTAAGCTTAATTGATCACTTTCACGTTAGTGATTATTCGACAAATGAAAGGGACGGCTGTCGATTCCGACGTAGATCTCTCCTCTTTTTTCTAGATAGGTATTGCTAAGTACCTGAACCTTGGATTGTGAGATTTCTTCTTGAGGTGGTAATTTGTTGGTTTAAGATCATTTTGATCTGTATGGTTTCGCTGTTTTCGTCTGTCAGGTTCGTTCAGGCATTTAGCCATCTTCAATCGGTCTTTTCGTTTTCTTCGTGCGCGTAGAAGTTTTTATTGCTTTCCTACCCAACCAACGGCAAAACTCAAAATTTAATTTACTTCTACATACTAGCAAGCGTTGTATAAAAAAAAGAAAGAAAAAAAGTAGCATTCTGCTGTTACATTCTGCTAAGCCTAAATAACACTATCAGTTATTCTTTTTCGTTGATTTCATTTGATATTATTCTTATTCTTAAACCTTTTCCAGGAG